GAGAAGTGGGTACATTCCGGCTGGGCATGTGTGTTTAAAAAATGCATGTTAAGGTCTGAAATTGCCAGGGTTGTCAGCGCCTTCAGTTAAAACAAAACAGAAAAGGAAAGATGTGTCCTGGGCCTCCCTCGGCATAGAACACAATGGTGGTGTAACAAGTGAGGTGGATTGAGGTCCAAGGGGGGGGACACGCCAGAGGCTCCCAGCCAGGATGGGCTTGGTGGTTTCAGGACTCAGATCTTCTACCAATGTCTCCTTATTTGCAAAACATGAAGACCAAATTCTTTGTTATTCTCTTTCTTTAATCTTTTGGAATTCAAAGTTTTTCTGAACGTCTGCTGGAAATTTGTCACAACATCACCTAATAAAAGCATTCGTTAGAACTTTTGGCAAGGCCTCAGGGCAAACGGTTTCCTTCTTTACCTCTAAAATGTTCCTACATGGCATCCCTCCTGGTTTATAGATACAAAAATAGTTTAGACCTCCCTCCACCGAAAAAAAAGACCACCGCCAACAAAAAAAAAAAACCAACCCTGGGTCATAAAGGAAGCAAGGAATATAAAAAATTAGGATCCATTTACAATGGGTCAAAACAGAGATCAAATGATAAGATACTACATTTTAATCAAGTTTACAATGCTCTCGGTTTGACAGCAAAGCTATTCTCATCCCTTGACCATGGTCAGAAGGGATGAACTCTAGGATAAGCAAATCTGTAACAATTGGACTGATGGCTTATTGGGGGTCTGGGAGGGGAGGTTGGAGGGAAATGGTGAGCTAATAACAGTGACTACAAGAAGAAAGATAATATGCTAGAACTGGTTGTAGTGATGATTATATCCTTTTTCAATATGACTGAACTATTTAAGTGTATAATATGTGAATTATGCCAATAAAACTTGTTTTTTTTTAAGGAAAAAAATTGTTAAGACCTTGATACACCTTTCCTTCAGGTTTTCAAGTCTTCTGTGGAGCTTTAGAACCCAAACTTTCATCAGGCAATTGCGTTTTTACTCTGAATGCAGTCTGTTGTCAGATCACACAGGATCCAGTAAGGCAGGACTGTTGGGAATGAACTGATTTAATTTTGAAGTAACGCCTAGTTGTTCTTGACACTGTGTTACACTGTGACCTCATAGTGGTGATCCATGAAAAGATGCATAGGTAAACATGCAGGCTGAATGGGTGTGAGAGGGAGAAAGGACTTTACCCCCACATGCTTACAGATTTGACAGATTATTAGTGCATATGCATTTACCTTTGCTGCAAATATGCCACTGAATGTTGTGAAGCATACGGAGCACAAAGCTATGAAAACTTGTTAAACAGCCAGCACTTTGAGGCAATAAGTTAGGGGGACTTGGATGACCAGGATCATGATTTTGGAATTGACACAGGGCACAAAATTCCATAACACTCATTTGCTATGGAAGAACTAAGATGTATCTTTAAAAACTAAGAAAATATGAAAGTGACAAATATACAGCAGTCTTAAATTGAAAGTCTTGTCTTAAAATAAGGAGCCCTCTAAGTGAGGTGTCAGCTAAGCCCACACAGAAGAAGCATGCTAGCCTGCGTGATCCAAGGATTGAACTAATGAGTTGTATGATATGTGACTTATATGTCAATAAAACTGTTAAAAAATCTCCTATCAAACATAAATAAATAAATAAGCAAGAACAATTTTCCTGGCTTTATAAAGCCTGTTGATATCCCTAAAATTATGGCCCCTAGTCAATCACCCTTCAAACCTGGAACGAATTTAGCCCCATGGCTTAACATTCAGCCAAACGACAGACAGGTCTGCAAGGTGAATAAAACCCCAGGGAGATATACGCTCCGTAGACCAGTAAACCATATGAAATATCATGGCAGCATTTGTCATTATAAACATGAATAAACTCAGAAGGCAGGGAGGATGTGCTATTACACTGTGGAGATTTTAAGCAATGTTTTGGAAATGTGTATGAATTTTTTAATGGGAAACCAATTTTCTCTGTAAATTGTCATCCACATCGCAATAAAACTATAGAAACAAAACCAAAAAACCCTTATGGAAGGTTCTAGTGTGTCCTATAGAATTGTTAGGGGTTGTAGCAGACTCAACTGCAGTGGGTTTGGTTTTGATTACTGTTAGGGTCTCTAGAGAAGCTGAGCCAGTGATGTGTCTATAAACCGAGACATTTATATCAAGAAATATGACTCACAAGCAGTTGTAGCATGGTGCATCTAGTTGGCTCAAGTCCCTTTGTCAGATGTTAGAGCTGGGGTCTTCTCTGACTAGCACGGCTG